TTCCCTTCCATTCTGTCCACTGAGTATTTTGACTATTTCCAGTGCTAAAATTTCCATTTGGTTCATCTTCTACATCTTTTTTTTTTTTCTTTTCTTTTATTGGAGAGGTTTTTGCTATAGGTTGCGTGAGCTCACCATAAAGACAGAGAGAGACAGAGAGACAGAAAGCGAGAAATCACCCCCCAGGGGGAATGGCCATGCCACAATTCCTTCTCCTCCATTCTCCTCTTGGGATCTTGGGCACACGCGCACACGTGCCCGGCGCGAGTTTAAGCCACCGTGTGTGTCTGAGACTTGAACCGCGGTTGACTACCTGGGAGTCCAGCGACATAGCCATTACACTAACTGCTGGCCCCTCCTCTACATCTTTTTAGCAAAGACTTGTCATTTATTTGATGAGGTTTTAGAGAAGTATTTGTAACTGCCCATTTCCTTGTGGCTGCTCTAAGAGCTTGGTCAGAGAGTTCTAATATGTGTTCATGGGGCTGGCAGCTGTACATCATCTTTTTTCATTCATGTTGAGATCTTCCTGGTATGATGAGTGAGTTTAGAATGAAAAATGGACACTTTAGGTCTAGACTAGTTTTGGCAAAGATTTCACTGTCCTTAGGTGAAGCTTTAACGACAATAAAATAAATGGTGGTTTTTGTGATTTTTTTTTTCTTTTCAATGAAAGAGAAATGATATCCATATTCATATTTAAAATATTAAATTTTTTTCCATTTAAAAAGTAATATAAAGCATTAGAGATGATTTTATTTATTTATTTTAGTTTGCTATAGGAAGTGTTTGCTCAGCAGAGACACAGAGCGAGAGAAAATGAGAAAGCACTCCAGGGGTGTGGCCATGCTGCAGTGTCTTCTCCAGTCTACGGTGGAATTCCAAGCACACACATGCATGTTTGCAGCCTGCTTTTCAAGCTGCCAGGTCTGTGACAAACCACACATTCAGCCATATGGGATCTAGCAGCTTTAACTACCATGTCACTAGCTGGCCTAAGATTTTTTTTTTTTTTTGAGAGGTGTTTGCTATAGGGCGCGTGCGCTCACCAGAAAGACAGAGAGAGACAGAAAGATAGAAAGCGAGGAATCGCCCCCCCCAGGGGGGATGGCCATGCCACAATCCCTTCTCCTCTATTCTCCTTGCGGGATCTTGGACACGCATGCACACATGCCCAATGTGAGTTTAAGCCATCAGATCCGGAATTCGAACCACAGTCGACTACATGGAAATCCAGTGACATAGCCATTATACCATCTGCTGGTCCCAGGCCTGAGATTTTTTTTTAAAAATACTGAAAACAAAATTGCCTTAACTTTATTATTTTAGCATAATTACTGTCAGGAGTTTTTGAAATATCTCTTCTATTATCTGTCTCACACAAAGGTTTTAAAGTACATGATTATCACTTTCCTAGTTATATTGAAATATTATCTATGGCCCAGCAGGTGGCATGGTAGTTAATGTACTGGATCCCCACAGCTGAGCGTGGTTCATGTTCTGGACCTGGCAACTTGAAAAATCACACCAGATGCGTGTATGTGCGTGCCCAAAATCTCAGGAGGAGAATGAAGAGGAAGGGATTGTGGTGTGGCTATCCACTTGGGGAGTGATTTCTCACTTTCCCTCTCTCTCTCTCCCCCTCTCTCCCTCTCCACTCCTCACCCCCCACCCCTGCCAGTGCACATGCCCTATGGCAAAAACCTAATTAAAAAAAAAAAGTTTAAAAATTTTGTTTATAGTATATTTAAATTAGCTTACAGTGCCTATGCCCCTCACTATCCAGTCATATAGCCTTTGAGGCCCATAGAATCTCAGGGTCTATTTCTAATTCTAGACACAGGAAATCAGAAGCTCAGACTTATCTACACTGCAGGATGAGGGCTGAGTAGGGAATCAGTCACAAATTCCCATGTAGATGGGGGAAACTATTATAAAACTCAGTGACATAGGATTAGAAAATTAAAACATAATAAAGGAAATTTGAAGTTATTTCTGAGTCTGTCTTAAATACTCTCATCTTTTTTTTTTTTTTTTTTTTTTGAGAGGTTTTTGCTATAGGGCACGTGTGCTCACCAGACAGACAGAGAGAGACAGAAAGCGAGAAATCACCCCCCTGGGGCTGCAATCCTTTCTCCTCCAGGGATTTTGGACACGTACGCACACGTGCCTGGCATGAGTTTAAGCCACTGGGTCCAGGACGCGAACCGCAGTTGACTACACGGGAGTCCAGCGACATAGCCATTATGCTCACTGCTGGTCCCAAACATTCTCATCTTTTTAAAAAATTAAGAGTTTTTTTTTTTTTTGCTGTATGTCATTTGTGCTCACTGGAGAGATTTTTGAAAGTGACAGAAACAGGAAATCACTCCCCAAGAGAGATGGCCATGCTACAATCCCTTCTCCTGCTATTATCCTCTCGGGATTTTGGCCACACCCACACACGTGCCCAGCATGATCTCAAGCCATCAGATCCGGAACTTGAACTGCTGTTGACTGTGTGGGAGTCCAGTGATGTAACCATTACACCATCTGCTGGTCCCAAACATTCTCATCTTTAGTAGTGTTGCAGAAAACCAGACTCCAAGGAATGAAAACACAGCACTCCGGAGAGAAAGGAGAACAGTTTAACTGCATCAGCGGGCATGGAGGAGTTAACACTCTGAATCTCTGGCCCCGACCATGAGTTGGACACAGTCTTTTATGGGTGGATTGGGGAGGGGCAGTTTCAGCATGCTTGGAGTATCCTATCAGGGAAAAGGGGCTCAATGTCCACCCTAATACAGAGCTGGCAGAGAAGCAGGTTTTCATTCTGCTCAAGGCATCCCGGCCACTCAACAGTTCAGGGGAGTGGCAGCTCACTTACAGGGGAACAGAAAGCCCAGGGCAGCTATCAGCCCTGGGTTGCTTCAAGATTGCTCACAAGTTCTGGGTTGCTCCACATCAGTAGTTCGAAGTAGTTTCCTTGCAGGCCAGCCCCATAGCCTAGTGGCTAAAGGAGCTGGATCTCACATACCAACTGACTTGAATCCCATCCCCTGTGGCTTGAAAAACACACTGGGCATGTGTGTATGTATGCCCCAAATCCCAACAGGATGGGGGAATGGAGGAGAAGTGATTGCAGCGTGACCGTGTTCCACTGGGAAGTAGGCAACCTCCCCCACTCCACTCACACACCTTCTGACAATTAAAAAGAAAAAGCGATTTTGTTTCACTTGATTTTTAAAAAAAGAATTATTCTATTAAACTTTATTTATTTTTTTTGTTTTATTTATTTATTTTAATTTGACCAGAGAGGCTCAGAGAGAGAGAGAGATAGAAAGCAAGCCACCAGGTCTGGGACTTGAACCACAGTTGGCCACACGGGAGTCCAGCGCCCTCAACCACCACGCTACCTGCCAGCCCCCTTTCATTTTTGATTTTTAATAGACATGTATAATGCCATTAGTTACTGTGTTATTTTAGGAGTAGTTCTATGCCATTCTTTCTGTTTTGCTCATTTTCTTATTTTAGTTTATTCTCCATGAGAATTATCTGTAATTCGAAGCCAGTATTTTATTCTTGTGAAATTGGTAAGAGTTTTAGAGTCACTGTGGCAACTGTGGTCAGAGAGTACTGGAGGCAGGGCAGATCTAAGTAGCACTTCCCGTGAGTGTGCAATAGGACACACCTGCCCAGCCGCCTGTCTGTGGTGGTGGAGCCTGAGGAACCCAGAGAGGAGGCTGCCTCTGTCCCACTGATGTTTCTCCAGACCAGAAACAGCTGATCCTACGTTCTTACATGTTTTAGACAAACGCACAGTCATACTTAAATAATTCTTGAAGTTTATTATAAAATTCCCAAGGCCTCCCGGCCACTCAACAGTTCAGGGGAGTGGCAGCTCACTTACAGGGGAACAGAAAGCCCAGGGCAGCTATCAGCCCTGGGTTGCTTCAAGATTGCTCACAAGTTCTGGGTTGCTCCACATCAGTAGTTCGAAGTAGTTTCCTTGCAGGCCAGCCCCATAGCCTAGTGGCTAAAGGAGCTGGATCTCACATACCAACTGACTTGAATCCCATCCCCTGTGGCTTGAAAAACACACTGGGCATGTGTGTATGTATGCCCCAAATCCCAACAGGATGGGGGAATGGAGGAGAAGTGATTGCAGCGTGACCGTGTTCCACTGGGAAGTAGGCAACCTCCCCCACTCCACTCACACACCTTCTGACAATTAAAAAGAAAAAGCGATTTTGTTTCACTTGATTTTTAAAAAAAGAATTATTCTATTAAACTTTATTTATTTTTTTTTGTTTTATTTATTTATTTTAATTTGACCAGAGAGGCTCAGAGAGAGAGAGAGATAGAAAGCAAGCCACCAGGTCTGGGACTTGAACCACAGTTGGCCACACGGGAGTCCAGCGCCCTCAACCACCACGCTACCTGCCAGCCCCCTTTCATTTTTGATTTTTAATAGACATGTATAATGCCATTAGTTACTGTGTTATTTTAGGAGTAGTTCTATGCCATTCTTTCTGTTTTGCTCATTTTCTTATTTTAGTTTATTCTCCATGAGAATTATCTGTAATTCGAAGCCAGTATTTTATTCTTGTGAAATTGGTAAGAGTTTTAGAGTCACTGTGGCAACTGTGGTCAGAGAGTACTGGAGGCAGGGCAGATCTAAGTAGCACTTCCCGTGAGTGTGCAATAGGACACACCTGCCCAGCCGCCTGTCTGTGGTGGTGGAGCCTGAGGAACCCAGAGAGGAGGCTGCCTCTGTCCCACTGATGTTTCTCCAGACCAGAAACAGCTGATCCTACGTTCTTACATGTTTTAGACAAACGCACAGTCATACTTAAATAATTCTTGAAGTTTATTATAAAATTCATCACTCTCCAACCTTTCATATTTCAATCCCATTTTATCTTTTTAATTAGCAAAATTTTCTATATTTGTTTGCAGTATTTAAAATAGATATTTTCTGGACATGAAAAAATATACTAAGATAGTCCTTACTTTAACAGCATTCCACTATGACATCAACATTGAGAAGGCTGGGTGAAGACGTGTTTAAAGGAGTGGTAACTAAAGGAGTTCAAGACGATTCTTCAGAACACTCTGTGGAGAGTAAACCAAAGACAGCCACTTTCTTTAAGAGCTCCAATTTGCCATTGAGATTTCTATCAACTTTAATTGTTCTCAAAACAGTCACTCAAGGTAAGCTTTCAAGTGTGCTTATGCTATAAATGCTGGTAAACAGCTAGGAGAGGTGCTAAATAGCAAAGCAATTGTTTTGTAATAAAAAATGTATTACATGTTTAGAATGAGATTTGGAGTTGCCTTATAAGGTGGCACATTATAAAAATCTACTTTTTGTTTGTTGAATTTGAAAAAATGAAGCTTTTAGACAGTTGCCTCCTCCCAGAAGCCTTTGTTGATTTCCTTAGAATCATGTTCCTTTAATGCCTTGCCTGCAACTGTAATCGCAGTTTCCATGTAAGATTCAGATTGCTAGTTAGTTTATTATTTCCAACTAGAGAACAGACTGGCAAGCTATATAGCCCAGGAGCTATGCCTGACCCACAACCGGTTTTGTGAATAGTTTTTATTCACCTTTGAGCTAATTTGTTATGTATTGTCTATGGCTTTTTTTTTTTTGCCTTATAGCAGCAGAGTTCAGTAGCTGGCAGTAGAGGCTATGTTGCCACCAAAGCCCATAATGTTATTATCTGGCCCTTTACCACCCCTGCACTAGTCTGTAAGTTCACTGAGGAAAAACTTGTCTTGTTTACCGTTGTTTCCTCTTGCCCAGCACAGTACTTGGTATAGTGAATAAGTAAGTAAATGCATTAAAAATAATGCTGCAATCAAAGTTGGCCGTAATTATATTCTTAATATGTAGCCATACCTAATTGTCTTTTGGGGTTATTAAATATGATCATTTTGGTCTGAGGCATTCAGTGTAGTCAAGCAATAAATACACCATCTTCTTATCTTCCTTGTTCGTTAAATTAGATAACTTGGGCTCGTTTAAATAGGCAATGACAGTAATTTTATCTGACTACTTTCCTTGAGGTTTGTTTTACTTAGTTTTTCTGAATTGATCAGAAGGCAGAAGTTGTAACTGCCCGTTCAGTTATGCCGTTTCCCTTTGTGTGCCTGATCGCGTGGTAGTTTGTTGTTGGGAAAAACAAACACCGTGAGATGGAAGAGAGAGTTCAGAGGCAGGTTCGTGTGTACGGTCAGCTGATTTTCACCGAGTTGCCTGGGCAATTCAGTAAGGAAGGGATAGTTCAGTTCCTTCTCTCAAAACGGATTGTAAACCTAAATTTAAGAGTTCAGGCTAGACCATGAAAAAGAAAATTTATGAGACTATTTTAATGACTTTGGGTTTGACAAAATTTTCTAAACGAGGGTACAATAAGCACAGATTATAAATAATAAATAGGCCTTCATCCAAACTATTTCGGGGCCAGCCTGTAACCTGGTGTTTGAGAACGTCGGATCCCCCATGGCTGACCGCAGTTTTGTTAGTCCTGGTGGCCTGAAACACATGGCAGGTCCATGTGCGTTTCCCGAACCCCGACTCGATGGGGAGAATGAGTAGAGGGGTCGCAGCGTGACATCCATCAGGGTTGCTTCTACTTCTGGCTTTCCCGCTGTTGAGTGTACGTACCCTCTGGCAAAATTAGAAAAAAAAAGTTTTAATTTTGTTTTCCCAAAAGACACTTGAAAATGCAAATGCAAGTCACAATCTCCATGTTGGTAGAGCACCCTAGTTGTCTGCAGAAAAGGCGATCTGGGGCTAAATAATAGATGCACTTCAGGGGAAAAAGGAGAGGCCATTGTGGTCTGGAGTGAAAACTGTTTGGGAAGTTTTAGAATAAGCCAGGTTTAATCATTTAATTAGCTTAAAGTTGTAGTGGGCATTTTGAATCTCTAAATCTTAAATATTTCCCACACTTATTTGACCTCAAACCTTCTGTGGAAGAACATGCAGGGATACTTTTCTGAGGAAAAGACTTTGGGAAATGCTACCTTGCTGTCTATCAAGTACCTTTGTGAGACCTTAGGAAGAGTGACATTACCCTGGGGATGCTTTCTCTAGCCTCAACTTGTAGGGAGATGAAATTAAGAAAGGCATTTTGTTTAAGTGTTACTGTTTCTGCTTACTTTTTTAAGAGAGGTTTTTGCTATAGGGCATGTATGCTCACCAGAAAGAGAGACAGAAAGTGAGAAATTACCCCCTGGGGGGATGGCCACTTCACAGTCCCTTCTCCTCCATTCTTGGGCATGCATGCAAACATACCCAGTGTGAGTTTAAAGCTGCCCAGTCTGGGACTCCAACCACGGCTGACTACATGGGAGTCCAGCGATGAAACCATCACGCTATCTGCTGGTCCCCGCCAATTTTTTTTAAACTAAACGCATTTTTTCCCTCTGTCCCATCCCCTCCCTCCTCCTATTGCCCACCCCCATATTACCCGTCCTACTGTCTTCAGTACATGCAGTTGCCCTCCCTGCTACTACACCTTGCAGACTTTCCATTTCTGCCATAGAGCACAGACATTCGGTACGCACTGAGCTGGGGCATGCAGTCTGCCTTTCACACTCTGGCTTGCTTAGCTTAGCATTAAGTCTTCCATATGCTTCCACTTTGTATCGAATGTCGGGGTTTCATTGTTTTTTGTGGCTGAGCAGTGTTCCACAGAGAATGGATGCCACTTTTTTTCAATCCACTCATTTCCCTTAGGACATTTGGGTTGATTCCATGTCCTAGCAATTGCAAATACTGCTGCAATAAACATAGGTGTGCAAGTGTTTTTCTAACTGAGGGTTTTTCTGTCCTCTGAGTAAATACCTAAGAGTGAACTTAACTGGGTCATATGGTAGTTCTATTTGTATGTTTCTGAGAAATCTCCCTATCATTTTCCACAGTGGTTGTACTAATTTACATTCCCACAACAGTGTAGGAGAGTTCCCTTCTCACCACAGCCTCACCAGAACTTAACATTATTTAATTTTTTTTTAGAGAGATTTTTGCTATAGGGCCCATGCACTCTCTGGAAAGACAGAGAGAGAGAGAGAGAGAGAAAGCGAGAAATCATCCCTCGGGGGGAAGGCCACACCACAATCCCTTCTCCTCCATTCTCCTCTCGGGATCATGGACACACATGCACACGCGCGCAGCCTGAATTTAAGTCGCCGGTTCCAGGACTCAATCTGCTGTCAACTATGTGGGAGTCCAGCGATGTAACAAAATAAATTTTAGCCATTCTGACTGGGATTAAGTGGTATCTCATTGTGGTTTTGATTTGCATTCCCCTTACGATAAGAAATGTTGAGCGTGTTTTCATATACTTTTTGGCTGTTTGTACGTCTTCTTTGGAGAGTTTTCTGTTCAGCTCATTTCCCTATCTTTTAATTGGATCAATTATTTCTTGTGGGTAAGCTTGAGTTCCCTGTATATTCTGGTTATCAGTCCCTTATCTGAGGTCTAGTTTGCAAATACGTTCTCCTACTCTGAGGGCTGTCTTCTCACTCTACTTATTGTTTCTTTTGCTGTGCAGAAGCTTCTCAGCCTAATATAGCCCCATTTTTCTGGTTTTGGAACTATCGCCTGTGCTTTGGAAGTCACCGTTTCTGCCTACTAATGTTGGAAACACAAAAAGTGCAATTTGTGCAATTGGAGAATCTTGTACCCCCCCCCACGGCTCCTCCCCAAAATACAAACCACCAGAAACTTGTTATGCACTCATCAAAACACACTGATGGGGGCTGGCAGGTGGCATGGTGGTTAAGAGCATTGGACTCCCATATGGCTGACTATAGTTCATGTCCCGGACCTGGCCCCTGCCTTTCTTACTTTCTCTCTCTCTTGCTCTGTCCCTCTCTGGTCAAATTTAAAATAAAAATTGAAAAAAAGTTAAATAAAATAATTCTTAAAATACACACATGCACACCACACTGAATTCTTTCACATTGACACCTGCAACAGGAGGCAACAGGGAAGAAAATTCTTTTTTTCTTCTTTTTTTTGCTATAGGGCATGTGCGCTCACCAGAAAGACAGACAGAGACAGAGAGACAGAAAGCGAGAAATCACCCCCATGGGGGGATGGCCATGCCGCAATGCCCTCTCCTCCATTCTCCTCTCGGGATCTTGGGCACACACGCACACGCACCCGGCATGAGTTTAAGCCGCCGGATCCAGGACTTGAACCGTGGTCGACTACATGGGAGTCCAGCGACATAGCCATTACTCCAACTGCTGGTCCCAGGGAAGAGAGTTCTTTCATCTTCTCTTCTAGCAGAGAATAGGTTGTGAAATGATGAGGGCGTTTCATCTCCTTGCTGTTACCAGGGTGTGCACACACAGACCTCAGCAAGATTCCAAGTATGTTCCAGAAGGAAATAATTTAGTTGTGAACTAAATAACAACCAGAACTTCAAATGCTATGGCCTTAAATAATAGACCAGACTTAGCAGCTGCGTATCTCAGCTTTTCCTACTGCCCCCCTCAGTACAGAGCTAGCCGGCTACTCAACATGCTTCTCCCCTTTTCCTTTCTTTGCTCTGTGTACAGTGGGACTTGCCTTTACTATGTCACTCTGGTAATGCAGTGAGGACGGCGGTGCCTTCTATTAATACACGGCTTATTCCTGCTTGTACAGCACAGTGTATGAATTGCCGTGCTGCAAAGCCAAACAGCTACGAAATGTTGAACAATCATCGAAGTATAGGGGCCAGCAGGTGGCGTAGTGGTTAGGCCTCTGGAGTGCAGAGTGGTCAGTTGTGGTTCCAGTCCCAGACCCAGTGACTTGAAACTCATGCCAGGCACACGTGTGTGCGTGCATGTTCAGACTCCTAGGAGGAAAATGGAGGAGAAAAGATTGAGACGTGGCCGTTCCCTCAGGGGTTGGTTTCTCGCTTTCTCTGTCTGTCTCTCTGGCAAGCACATGAACCCTATAGCAAAAATCTCTCAAAAAAAAAAATCATTGAAGTATATAAAAATTGCTATGTCATGGGACCAGCAGATAGTATAATGGTTACATCTCTGGACTTGCACATGGTGGGCCTCAGTTCAAGTCCTAGACCCAGTCGCTTAAAACTCATGCCAGGCACGAAAATCCTGTGAGGAGAATAGAGGAGAAGAGATTGTGATGTGGCCATCGCCTCAGGAGGTGATTTCTCCCTTTCTATCTCTCTGTCTCTCTA